CAGAAATTGAAAGAATTTGTAAAAACCAGACCAACCTTACAAAAAATACTAAAGGGAGTTCACTGGATAGAGAACCAACAACAGAAGGCAACAACCTGCGATTAACATACGTGACAGAATCACTCAGAACGCAACCCAGATATGTTGTTAAGTGCCATCGAATCAGGTCCAACTCATAGTAACCTGTATAGGGTTTCCAAGGAGCAGCTAGTGAGTTTGAACAGCCAACCTTGTATTTCAAACCAAACTTGTGGTCAGGTCAGTGCTTATCCTACAGTGCCACTCCAGGCCTCAAAATATGGAAGTATTCAAAATAAAACAAGACAGAAAATACGGAACCAGAAATACCAGTTTGCAATAACAACCAAAAAACCATAAAGTAAAAAGAAGGAATAATGTAGTCACAGAACATCCAAATGAAGAGAAAAATCAAGCAAATTTCAAGGAGAAAATAAACTAACTGTAACCCTAAAATTAGACAAGTCTTACTCCTAGCCCTGGTAGCATAGTGGTTACGAATCGGGCTGTGAACTGCAAGGTCAGCAGTTCAAAAACTACCAGCTACTACGCAGGAGAAAGATGAGGCTTTCTGCTCTTGTAAATATTTACAGCCTCGAAAACCCTGCTCATGGTCGCTATGGGTCAGAACCGACTCAATGGCACTTAACAACAACAGCAACTCCTAGCCCTAGGCCAACCCCTACCACTAGCACTAATGCTAGTCCTAACCATAGCCCTTTACTTAATGAAGACCTAGGCCTAGCCTAGACCTAGCCACAGTCCTAACTGTAACTCCTTACTCCTTACCTGACCTCCAAAATGTACAAAGAGTTGAAGAAATTTAATTCAATAGTTCAAATAACTCAAAGATAATGGGATACAAATACAAAGATAGTGGGAACTCAAATATAAAAACATCTGCAAAGACAGATTACAGAGGTCATTACCTACCACAAGAACTGAGTGTGGTCTACTGATTACATCAACATGTGGGCAGAGTTTAACTGAAAAGTTTTCAAGGTACCCAAAGTCAACTCAACATAATTATTTCTTGCTACACTGATATGATTTTAAACTACTTTTGGGGCACATAGTGGCTCCATATGATAAGCACTGACCTGCAAACCACAAGGTTCTTAGTTTGAGCCCACCAGTCACTCCATGGGAGGAAGATGAGGTTTTTTGATTTTTTGAGGCTATAAAGCGTTGGAAATCCTATATAGGGTCATTATGAGTCAGAACCAACTCAACGGTACTTCACAACAACAATAGGATAATTTTCTGTTTTCAGATATCATGATTCATCTACTGTACTAATGATATAATCAAAATCTGAAAGGATCTACTATACATCAGGATTTCTGATTTCTATCAATGTTGTTGTTGTTAAGGGCCATTGAGTCAGTTCCGGGTTTCCAAGGAGCAGTTGGTGGGTTTGAACTGCCAACCTTGTGGTTTGCAGTTTGGTGCTTACACTACAGCTCTATATCAATAGCATGGATGAAACTATGAAAAAATATTTTCTCATTTTAGTAATATTAACATAAAAACTCCAAACCTGTACACTAGGTAGAGATGTTGTTGTTGTTAAGTGCTGGCAAGTTGGTTCCGACCCACAGCTACTGGTGACCTTGAACCACCAACCTCACAGTTCAAACCGACTTTGCAGTCTAGCACATTAACCCACAGTGCCACACCAGGACTCCAGGTAGAGATATGTTAAGTAATTTATTACACTTCACCTACTTTCCTGAAGTGTCAAAATAAAAGACACACACACAACAGGACTTGTTTAAAATAAAATGGACAAGATCAGACAGGGGACAGAGTAGAAATACTCATTAATTAGAATCATAAGATTATAGAAAAAGCATGAAATGTAGTTCAGAGTATCACAGCGGTAAGGAAGAATTTATTCTAAGAAACTGTCGACACACAGTTGTTGTTAAGTGGCATTGAGTTAGTTCTGACTTAGAGCAACCCTGTATAGGGTTTCCAAGGAGCAGTTGGTGGATTTCAACTGCCAACCTTGTGCTTAACAATCCAGTGCTTATCCTACAGTGCTACACTAGGACTCCCCAACACATAATGTTGTTATTAAGTGTCATCAAGTCAGTTCCAACTCATAGAGATCCTATGTAGGGTTTCTAAGGAGCGGCTGGTGAGTTTGAACCTCTAACCTCATGGTTCAAATAGACTTCATGGTTAAGTGTTTATCCAACAGTACCATACCAGGACTCCCCAACACATACTAGACATGACAAAAATAATGAAATTGATTTGTCCAAATATATAACACTACGTTTTAATTATATTTTATACTTATTGTTCATTCATATTAGCACTTATCCAAATTACTAGGCCTTATGTAACATGTTTTTCCTCATAAAAGTAATTAATGAATATCCCATTAAAAAAGAAATAACTTTCTACTCTGAAGAAAACCTTTTAAACTTAAAAGATGTTTGGTGGTGGTGGTGTGCTGTGGAGTCGGTTCCAACTCAAAGTAACCCTGAATAGGGTTTTCCGAAACAGTAAATCTTTACTGGAGCAAAAAGCCTCATCTTTCTCCCGAGAAATGGCTACTAGTTTCAAACTGCTGACCAAGAAATTAGCAGCCCAACAGTAACCACTATGCTACCAGAGTCATTCAAAACTTAAATGATACATTATGACAAAAGGGGTAAAAATATAGTCTAAGGCTCAGACTACAAAAAGGAGTAAAGGTAAAATAATAATCCAATAAAAAGATTCTGCGGCAGACTGAAACTTTGAAAGCTTGATCCACAGGGTGAGAAATAAACTTCCTTAACTTGGTTCTAGTCAAACTTTAAGACCAACTCTCCCTATATATTAATAGCACAAACAGACAAGGATTTTTCTTTTGTTAATATTTAATTGACACTTATCTTTAAGAAAAATGAGTCATAGCTACATTGTTTATGTACACAAGTAAAAGTGCATATAGAAACGAAGATTTTTAAGGTGGTAGAATTATGGGTTTGTTTTTTAAAATCCTCTATCTTCCAGTGTTTCTGTAATTTTACATTACCATGACAATTAAAAAAAAATAAACCTGTGATGCCATGTCTTTTATTCTATCTATCCCTTTGTCTAGCATTTTGATTCTGGAGCGTAGTGGTTACGAATCGGGCTGCTAATCTCAGGGTCAGCAGTTTGAAACTACCAGCTGTTCCATGGGAGAAAGATGAGGCTTTCTGCTACCGTAAAGATTTACAGCCTCGAAAACCCTGTACAGGGTAGCTATGAATCAGGACTGACTCCACCGCATATTACCACCACCACCACCCTGCAGTTATTAAGGAGGAGAACTCTGAAATCACACTGCCTGGTTTCTGTATTAACTCTGCCAATTACTGCTGTGGTAACTTGATACAAATTAGTTAAATCCTCTGTGCCTCAGTTTCTTTAACTGGTAAAAAGTAACTACTACACAAATTGATAGGAGGATTGAGATAATCCACAAAAAAAGTATTTAGAAGTGGGCCTGAAACATAGAATGCACTCAGTAAATACTAAATCTATTGTATCATGTTATACTTTAGATCCCTGCTAACAAAAACTAAGCTGAAAAGTTCTACAAAACAGTAATAGTAGCCAAAGAACCCCACTGGACACTGCTTTGATATCTGACCCACCACAGAGATCAAATCTGGCTTCCTGAGTGGTCTGAAAATTATCATCAACAAGTCACAACAGGAAGTAGAAAATCTGTCACCAATATGACCTGGAAAATGGCCAATTTACAAACATAAATCCGAAACCTCAGCAAATCTGTTCTCCTATATTGTATATATCTAAAGCCAGATTTAACGTAATATATTCCTAATGAGCTATATATGATTGAAAACACATGTTAAAGCACAAGTTCCACATTTTTAAAAAATGTAAATATTATATACATTGATGTTGATCTCTTAAACAAAATAACCTGATTTGTTTATCAAGTAAAGTACTAATCTTTGAAAGAGAATGTATGTGTGACTGTAAGGGATTCAGTCAACAATGGCTGTTTCTAACAGCCAGAGTTTTTCTGGAAATAACCTCTCGTCAGAAATCACTTAACAATAATCCATTTGAAAAAATATGTATAGGTCACATACATGGTTTTCTGTCAAACTATATACAACAAGAACACAATCAGGAGCAGCAACTTTAAGATGAAAGTCAAAAATTCATATATAAGCATTTAACATCTCTATGTACTCTAATTATAGTGATACTACTCTATAGTAACTGACAAAGTCACATAAAATTGACTGACAAGAGCTAAATTATTTCCATACAGACCTCAAGAAAATAATCTTCTAAAGCAAGATGAAAGATGTTCTGAAAAGATCCAACAATTACACAAGCCACAATGATGCTGCAGTAACTGAATTGCATGGCTCAAAAAAGTTTATGTTTGCAGGACTGAACTTTTGAATAGATACAAGATGGGGCCACTGTTCAAAGATTCAATTCTCATACGCAAGGTTTTTGTTTCAGAGAAAACAGAAATCTCATCTTTTATATGCACAATGCATTTGCAATTATATTTGTTCCACATTTTTTAAATGTTATACAATAAAACAGCATATGCAAAATTAACTTCTGAGATTCTAGGAACTATCAACCCAACAATTTAAGATCAAAACAATTAAATTTAAAATGTTTTTTTACACATATCAATCTAAACTAATGATAGTGAAACTGAATATTAACTCTAAATGTGGGCAAATTTACTGAAAATAAAATACACTAGGTTCGAATTTAACCTTTCCCTGGAATCTACTTCTATTCAAATATGTCCTTTGACACTCACTGAAGGAAATGGGTGAAATTTTAAAGAATGTCCGCATGTTACAATCAGAGGGTTTTAACATCATGTAGGTACGTCTGTTATAAAAGAAACCAAGATACGAGCACTGGCTTCATGTTTGACCCAAAATCCGTGAGCCTGACAGCGCAGGAACCGTCGCTCATACAATGTAACTCACCTCGCAGCTCAGAGGCATAGCAAAATCGGTGACTGCTTTTTGCGCTGCCTTTGGATTCTGCATCTGTTTCAGACCTAAAACCTAGTTACCCTGGGACCTTCATCTGATGCAAAGCTTACACACAACGAAAACTATCGCGATTTTAAAAGATACCTGGTGTTTTCTACTGAAGATGTTACGGAAATTTTGCCAGGTGGGACTTTTTTTGGTCCTCCTTCAAACACAGGAGCAGCATTAAATTAAATCCTTCTTGCTTTGGAGGGCCCTAATGTCAACCTGCTTCTACTCAAAAATAAAAATTCCCGACCTCACTTCCCACTTGTTAGACTAAAACTAATCCATGATCCAACTCTGAAGTGAGGTACAAAAGCTTTCAACCCGCCACGCCCTCCTTCCTCAATACCCAGCCTGAATCCGCGAGGCAGGCGGACTAGGACTCTGAGTAAGGGGCTGTGGCTTTTGGACCGCACCGGCCGAGACCCACGAAAGAGAAGCAGTAGAAGTCGGGCGACCGACAGGTACGTCCCCAGCGTCGACGAATGACGTCAGCACGTTGACGTGAACGGCCGTTCAGCGTCCGGACGCCCTAATACCTCCTCCTCCGGTTCTGTTGGAGCCGCGTCGGAGCCTATTGGGCGATTTGGGAACGGTGGGCGGGCCAGTCTTGGGGGCGCTGGCTCAAGGGGCATGCATTGAATGGACGCGGTGTCTGTCACGCGCTAACCTTACTTCTTCTTGTTGAGTGCCATCGAGTCAGTTCCGACTCATAGCGACCCTGTATAGGATTTCGGAGGAGCGGCTCGCCGACTTTGTGGTTCAAACCGACCTTGCAGTCCAGCGCAATCGGTTCCGACTCCTAACAGCCATTTATACGATTTCCGATGCTGTAAAGCTTTGCGGGAGCAGAAAGCCTCATCTTTCTCCTTTAGAGCGACTAGCGGGCTCCCACCGCGAACGCAGTGCAGTGCTTATCATATGAAGCCACCGCGCTCCTCCACCTTGCTTAGGTCATGCAATTAACTCACGTCACTCGCAGTTGCTGTTTGCCTCTCTCGCCTCCCAGAGAAAGGATAAGCAGCAAACGGCTTGGCGGTAGCATCTTCGGAACGCCCTAGACAATCCCCCATGTCTTCGCAGAGCTCTTATTAAACACTGGAGTGGGAAGACCTTAAGCATCAGTCGATGAGCAATAGTTTCTGAAACTTAGATCAAGAGGAATGTGTTGTTGTTATGTGCCGTCGAGTCGGTTCCGACCCATAGCGACCCTGTATAGGGTTTCTGAGGCGCAGCTGGTGACCTTGAACTGCGAACCTTGAAGTTCAAACGGCTTTGCAGTCTGGCGCATTAACCCACAGCGCCACACCAGGCATGGGGGGCGGGGGGGGCTTCAAATTTAAACCATCACCAAATGCTTGGACTTGTCATCTTGCCTTATAGGTCCTTGCCAGTTATATGTTTAACACACGTATTTTCTTAAATAATCTAACCAGGAGCTCTGGTAGCGTAGTGGTTACGAATTGGGCTTTCTACTCCTGTAAAGATTTACACCCTTGGAAACCCTGTACAGGGTCGCTATGGGTCGGAACCGACTCGACGGCACTTAACAACAACAACCAGAATTTAGCCATCACTCATTTTCAGAAACAATTCTTTGAAATTAAATATTTGGGGAAAAATAAGGTTTTGATACCGTCTGAATTGAGTTTTGTTTTTAGTAATTTATATGTTCTGTTCAGAGAATTCAATAATTTAATCTTGGAAGAACTTTATTTAGATGCAATTGTAAATGAATATTCAAGAAAATAAACACACCTTTGAAAGAATGATGTAGGCAAGGAATCACAGGGAAATGAATACTCTGATAAATCTTGAAGATTGGAAAAATTTCAGAAGGGTAGGAATGATGGTAGATGGTCCCAGGCAGTAATTTTCAGTTAAGAAAGGGAGATATATTAAATTATATATCCTGATATTAGATTTATTTTTAATTATGGTAAAAATATACACACCAAAAACACTCCCTAATACTTCCACATTTACAATTCAATGACATATATTACATTGTTGTACCATCATTACTATTCTTTTCCAAATATCCCCCCACCATTAACAAACAGCCCTGGTGATGCTGTGGTTAAAGCACTCATTGTTAACTGAAAGCTCGGAGGTTTGAATCAACCCACCAACCACTCTACAGTAGAAAAATGAGACTATTTCCATAAAGATTCACAATCTCAAAAATTCTATGTTATTAAGTGCCTTCAACTTGGTTCCCACTCATAGCAAACCTGTGTAGGGTTTCCGAGAAGTGGCTGATGAGCTTGAACCACTGCCTTTGCGGTTCAAAATGACTTTACGGTCCAGTGTATTAACACACAGTGCCAAACCCTATGGAGTAGTTCTACTCTGTACTATAGGGTTACTGTGAGTCACAATTGACTCAAAGCAATAGATTTGGTTTTTGATGTATTAACATAAATTCAATGTCCCTCAAGCAACCACCCCCCACCTCCTTCTCTACCACCCCTGATAGCTATTAATCATCTTTGGTTTCTATTGTTGTTAAGTACCATGGAGTCGGTTCTAACTCATAGTGACTCTGCACAGGGTTTCCGAGGCTGTAAATCTTTACGGAAGCAGAAAGCCTCATCTTTCTCTGGCAGAACGGCTGGTAATTTTGAAATGTTGACCTTGAGGTTAGCAGCCCGATTCATAACCACTATGTTTGCTTATTTCATAAGTGAGATCCTGCATTATTAGTCTTTTTGCGACTGACTTAATTCACTCAGCGTAATGTTTTCAAGGTGCATCCACATTGTGGCATCCATGCATCAGAATGTCATTTCTGTTTCTTGTTGTTAGGTGTCATATAGTTGATTCCAACGCATAGCAATGTCATGTGACAAAACAGAACTAAGCCATAGGATTTTCTTGGATGTAATCTTTAAAGTGTTGAAGAGCAAATATGTCAACTTGAGGGCTAAGGTGAGCCTGACCCAAGCCATGGTATTTTCAATAACCTCGTGTGCATGCAAAAGTTTGATAGTGAATAAGAAGAATTGATGCATTTGAGCTATGGTGTTAAAATAGAATATTGAAAGTGCCATGTGTTGCCAATAAAACAAAGAGATTTATGTTGGAAGAAGTGCAGCCAGAGCCTCTGCTCCTTGGAGGCCAGGATGGCCAAACTTAGTCTCTCATACTTCAGACATATAATTAGGAAGGACCAGTCGCTGGAGAAGGATATTACGTTCAGTAAGGTGGAGGGTCAGAGAAAAAAGGGAAGACCCCCAGTGAGATGGATTGGCAAAGTGGCAGCATCAATGGACTCAAGTGTGGCAACATCAATGGGCTCAAGAGTGGCAACAATTGTGAGGTTGGCCCAGGACCGGGCAGTGTTTCGTTCTGTTGTGCATAGGGTCACTATGAGTCGGTACCGACTCAGTGGCACCTAACAACAACAACAATCTTTATGGATGGACTCCTGGTAAGGTGCTGTAGGATAAGCACTGGACTACTAACCAAAATGTCAGCAGTTCAAACCCACCACCTGCTCCTTATAAACCCTATACAGGGTTACTATGAGTCAGAACCAACTCCACAGCACTTAATTAAACAGTCTTTATGGACTATTGGTGTGGAGATATAGGATAAGCAATGGCCTGCTAACCACAAAGTTGTCTGTTCAAACCCAGCAGCTACTCCTTTTAAACCCTATACAGGGTTGCTATGAGTTGGAATTAACTTGACGTCACTGAACAACAACAACAATCTTTATGAAAGAAGTCCAGATGGCACAGTAGTTAAAGCACTCAGCTGCTAAATGGGGATGGTGGTTCAAACCCACCAGTCATTTTGTGGTAGAAAGATATGGCCATCTGTTTCTGTAAAGATTTACAGCCTTGGAAACCATATGGGGCAGTTCTACTCGATCATATAGGGTCACCAATGGCAATGGGTAATCTTGACAAAGCATACAGACAGGTCTTTGTCCCAAGGAGTTTCTGGGTGTTTTAGAATCACCAACTTTTCTGTTAGCATCCTAGCCCTTAACCACTGAGCTATCAGACCTTCTTCACTTCTCTTTATGGCTATAATAATATTCAATTTTATGTATATGCCACATTTTACTTATCCAGTCATCTGTTGATGGACATTTCAGTTGTTTCACCTTATGGCTGCTGTGCAAATTGCTGCAATGAATATTGGTATACAGGTGGATTTTGTTCTTGATTAGGGCTTCAAGACCTGGGAATAATTTCCTATAACTCTTGGTTCTACCCTCCAAATTTTTGGTTCACCCCTGAGTCATTCTTTTATTATTTCTTCATGCAAGGTATCAGGTGTTTGTAACTAAGTAGCTAGTGGAATATGGGGGATGGGGGTGGGGGGGAGGTCCCAACAGCCTCCTTTCATTTAATAATTTATTTGTCCCCTAATTCCAAACTGTCTATTAAAACAAATTTCTCAAGAACTATGTGAGTATTGCATGAATTTCCTAAGGGTTCAGTCCATTAGAAAAAACCACACCCACACTCGGTATTTCTGAGATAACTTTATCTTTGACTCCTGTTGAAAAAGGAACTCTGGTAGCATAGTGGTTATGAATCGGGCTGTGAACCGCAAGGTCAGCAGTTCAAAACTACCCACTGTTCTGCAGGAGAAAGATGAAGCTTTCTGCTCCCGTAAAGATTTACAGCCTCGGAAACCCTGTACAGGGTCACTATGAGTTGGGAAGGACTGCACAGCACATAACCACTACCACCTGTTGAAAATGACTGAAAGACACCACTCTAAAATGCCCTAGGGCACATCCTTTATCTCTTGAAAGAGCTCTTTTTTGTGTGAGTGGATAGTCTGACTTTTGCTCTTCTTCCTGGTATGGTGCTGTGGGTTAATGCACCACACTGCAAAGCCATTTGAACTGCAATGTTGGCAGTTCAAGCTCACCAGCTGCTCCTTGGAAACCCTATACAGTGTTGCTATGGGCCAGAAGCAATTCGATGGCACTTAACAACAACAGCAAAGTTTTAACAAAGGGAGTCCTGGTGTGGTGCTGTGGGTTAATGCACCAGACTGCAGAGCCATTTGAACTGCAAGGTTGGCGGTTCCAGTTCACCAGCTACTCCTTGGAAACCCTATACAGGGTCGCTATGAGTCGTAATCAACTCAACAGCACTTAACAACATCAAAAATTTTAACAAAATGTTAACAGTCACATGCTTCACTCAGAATTTTTTCTATGCCAGGTTTTCAGCATTCCCACCACTGCCCTTTTTTTTTTTTTTTTTTTTTTTTTTTAAGGCTTATGGGTTATTTTTTTGCAATATGAAGCAGAAAAATTTCAAAATCATTTATTCCTGGTTCCCTTCTGCATAGAGTACTTCCCTCACTCAGTCTCT